TATATATATATTACATTATATATGTATGTATTAGAAGCATGAACATACGTTTGTTTCCATAAATGCAGTTCGCAGACATTGCCGCGCTGACTGCTTGCGCGAGTCGTTCCATAGATAGGTCACGCAAGACTGTATCGACATTCGGCCGATTCTGCAGATTCGTTGTCAATAAACGAGTAGTAGAGGCCAAATGTTGCGCCGAAATTGCGTGCTTATTGCTACCACTGTTATTCAGTCGTAGCACCGAGTCCATGAGTAACTGTTGAACTTTTGAATAAAATTTTCGTGACTCTTGAGCCTCTGTGTTGTTCGTAGGATCACGCAGAGGACTCAATATACACCATCTGTAGGTAGAAAAAAAAATAATTCGACACATTAGACACTTGTTTGTCATCTCTATGCAAAGTTATGATGCAGACAATGACCTGAAAAGGCCCGCTATAGGTGTTATTGGGGTCATCGGTATTCCACCAGTAGGCAATGCCGGATTATCCATCAGAGGCGTCAACAATAAACTCGGGTTTTCGTCAATCCATTCGCCTACCAATCTGAGCAACTCGGTAGGTGGATCTTTATCCTCGTAAACTTCACCTATCGCCGTCAGCAGGTTGGCAGTGAAATGTGGAGTGAGCACTGGCAGCTGCTTGAGCTTGTCGATGGATCTTGGAGTAAGCACGAAATAATCATTGAGCACGTGCCTCGCCAGTCCTACGCTCTGTGACGAGGTAGAGCCCAACTGCTGCATCCAAATGCCAGCTGCATTTAGAACTGCCTTGTTTTGTGTAGCGATTGCCAAAGATACCAGGTTACCTAGAATCTTGTATCTGGGACTGTCTGCTGGAAAGAGCGACAAGAAGAGAGCATTGCGTACCGCAGGACTGCCACCTGGACTCTGAAAAAAATCGCTCATGATCTCTATCAGCTGCAACTCCTGTATTGCCTGTGTCGTGTTGCGTTTCTTTCGCTTCTCTATCTCACCGAATACAAACTCTGATATTAAATCCATTTGCAGGTCTACTTGCTTGCCAGGTCTGCAGCAAAGTACCTCTTGAACAAATAAACAAAATTTAATGTAATTGGGGAAAGAGAAAAAATGTTAATATTAAAATATAGAATGACAAAAAGGTTTGACCATAAAGTTTGTATGTTTATCAAATCTATATATCAAAGCAGCAAATTGACGAAGTAAAATAATATTGAAATCTTCATTTTGATGTCAAATAATGTTAGCCTGCTGTCTGGATAGTCGATTAAAAAAAAGAATAAACTCTGAAATATGTATTAATTACATCTTATAAAATATCAAAACGATTGTACCAAAAGATTTTTACTGATTGGAAAACTGAAGACTGCTTTATTGACTGCATGGGATAATTTATTCATGGAAAGATGTGCAACCATCATTGATGCATTTCTAAAACGCTTTATATCAAAATTAAAGGTAGTCATTTGAATGTTAATTATTTTTTATATTTATTAAGATCATAAGACGTAATAACACTCTAGAATTTGTTCGTGAATTTAGAAATAAACATTACTAATGATTTGATAAACGAAACCTTTTTGTCACCCTGCAGTAACGTAGATCTGATATTTTAACTGTACAATGTTAAACTACTGAAACATAGATTTATACAAATTTGATCTTTGATGAACAGAGAGCACAGCTAAAATAAACAGACCATAGCGGCACCGATTAACCTATACAGTTCGTACCGATTCTACATAGAGCTTCCCTGGCGCAGTAAGGGAAGTCCAACTTTCGGAGAGCTTGCTTTACGTCGCTCCCGGACATCGTAACGTGGACGCAATGATTAACCGGACTGATTATCGCGAAGGAAACCGTTCACTTTCGATCGTAGAGCGTTTGACAACGATCATGTGCACGCGCCTGTATGTATACCTATGTGTATACACACGCATGTTAGGTGCTCGGAAACCGGAGTCGCGCACTGCGCACGCCGGTGGGCCATCGCCGCGCAGTGGCGCCACCAGCGAGTAGGTTGCGAAGCGCATTATTAGTCAAAACAATCCGCCGAATTGGTGATCTATTTTTAGGTCGCGCCCACCGTAGCCCACGGTGCTACGCCGTTTTTCCCCGGGAGGCCCCGGAAAAAAAGTTGGCGCTGCCGGTGCCCTTCCGCGACGCCGTCTCGTATCCGCGGATAAGGTTCAACGACCCCCCCTCTACCATCGCGGATTGTGACAGGCCAGGGAGCCGTGCGGCCGTGCGCGGGCCGGCCATGTTTATACCGTGGTGAGAAATTTTCGAGCCGTGCGCCGAGCGTGCCAGCCGCCGTGAACCACGAGCGGGACTATCTCCACGTGCGCCGTGGGAAGCGCGAGTTCCTCGGCCGCGCGTACAACCCGTGCCCCAGGAAGATCCCCCCCTCGCAGCCCCCAGCAGCGCAGGGTTCGCGGAATCGACGATGGAGTCCTCCGACAGGGGTAAGTCCGCGTGAGGATAACACTAAACGCGTGGGAAACGGCGGCAATATTGTGGCATCTGACAAACGGATCGTGCGACGCCCCCGGGGGGGCAATGGCAGTGTCAGGGTCGAAACGGAACTAGTTCAGTGACCGCATTCGCCGCCGGGAGGGCTGGCCGCGCATCCGACGTCTCTTTACGCCCGGTCGACGGACAGTGCTCTATCCACCGGTTGACGGCCGACCCGGCCGTCGAGACTCGAGGTCGCGGCGGTCCGTCCATCGACCGCTTAGATTCTCCGGCGAAAATCGCCGTCGCTCGATCGAATCTATGTCACGCCGCGCACTTTTAGTCGCGACTGTACCACCGCGTCGTCCTCCTTCTCTTTCTCCTCCTCCGCCTCTTTCCTTCCTCTCTCTCTCTTTCTCGCGTGCTCCTCGCCTCCCCCGCGTTCTCACCGTCTCGCTCTCGCGCCTCGGACGAGGACGGGAAGAAAGAGAGAGAGAGAGAGAGAGAGAGAGAGAGAGAGAGAGGACAGTGTGCGCGCGCGTTGCGCCTCCAGGGCATCATCCTGCGGATCGCTCACGGGCACGTGGTGGAACCATCGCCGGCAAAGTCCGAACGAAGAAATCCGAGACGGCGATCCGCGCGGATCCCTCCGTCGTCGGTCTCTCCGGTCTCTCGTCTTCGCTGTCGCGACTAGCCGCGTATAGCCGAGAAAGCGCGACACGGCGACGTTTTCCCCACGCGCGCGCCTCAGCGAGCCCGTAATCCCGTGAGAGTGCGACTGGCACCGGGCGTTCCGCGTTGCGCAACGCCGCGGCCGTAACTGCGTGTCTTTAACCTACATCGGGACGGCCCGGCGCGGCGCGGAGGGTACACGAGTACACCACGCGCGGCGAATCGGAGTCACGGTGTCGTTTGACAACGGCGCGCACGGGCCGTGTACACGTGAGAATTATTATCGCCTGACCGAGCCCCCCCCCCTCCTCTTTTTATTTCTCTCTCTATCTCTCTCTCTCCTCTCTCATCCCTTCCTCGTGCTCCGTTCCTCGCTGTACCTCTCGATGCCTCTCGACTTCACCGTCGTCTCGCCTCGCCTCGCCTCGCCCCGTCACGCCGCGTCGCTTCGCGTCGCGACGTGGCGACACCTGCCGTCCGCTCGTGCGCGCCCTACCTCAAGTCATCGCGAATTAACCCTCCCGCGTCGTCGCCGTTCAACCCTCCCCCGGTGCGCACCGCAGTCCCTTCGATCATGAATCGAAGCGGGGAAAATTTTGTCGACCTCGATGCGGCAACCTGTCGTGGAGAAAAAGGTTAAAACGACTACAAGGTTAAAACTTTTGTCCCCCGCCTTTGCCTTGGGTACTTTGAAACCTCTCTATGTATGATCGAGTGGATTGAGAGGCAGGTTACTGCGAATTCTTATTTATTCTACGTTTGAATAATGTATTATTATTGCGAAGTAAAGTATTTCGGAAATCTAATCGGATTTACTTAATCATTTTTCATTGAAAGGAACTGTAGAATTCAAGATAAATCGGTGCTGGAAAATGAAACTGTTTAGAGAAACAAAATTAAGATAAACTCATATATGTTGTAGACTGTTCTTTGAATTCTTATTTGTTTTGTATTTGGATATTTTTATTATTACAATTATGTTTATATTTTGAAAGTTTAATCGAAATCAGAATTATTTTTCGTGAAATATAAAAGAAACTTGTAGAATTTAAGGTAAATTGCCATTAAAAAAGAAACTTGGTTGGACAAACAAAATGTTTTGATCGATCCGTTTGAGGGCAAACGTGGAGTCAACTGAACAATTTACAGAGTTAACCTGATATTTCGGTGATTTAACAATCGACGATTATTAGCGCAGTCGACTGTCGAATTAAACGATTCGTTCGACGAGTTTGATATCTCGTTACGCGAAATTGATCACCAGTCAATCCGAGCCATTTTATCGCGACACACTCGCAGTCGTACTTTTGTACGATTGATCTATTATGCCATCCGATTATATACATCTCGCACACACATTGCTCAAATTGCTCATTAATCCCATTAATTCACGTCGGCCGTTTCAGCGCGACGCATTTAACATCATACAGATTCATTACACGTTAATGATAAACAAGTCTCTTGAAAGACCGATTGAACTCAACTGTTTAAATTTGTCAGTTTTAGTATTAAAAGATACGATTAGTTTGAGACACTAAGAAACGAAATTGTTAATTTTAAATTAATTTAGTTCGTCTTTATTTCTTTCGATGAAAAATGTATGTATATTTAAGTCAAACATGTACTTGATTTTAAATAAATATGTACATTTTCCAACGAAAGGAATAAAGACGACTAAATTAATTTAATCAAACAAACACAAAGCTGCGTTTGGAGAAAAAGTAGTTACAATTAATAATTTAATTATAATTTAATCGTAATTTATGGTCATTTCGGTGCTGATTGAATATTTTCGATAGGTCTATAAATATAATTATTATTACTAACATAAGCAGTAATTATAATATTAACATTATAATATTAACGATAAAAATGGAGCTCCTAACTATAATTATTTTACCGTGCAATTAAACACTGAGAAAAATACTAAATTTTAGTAAATATTTGTTTAAATAATATCAACTAATAAATAAATATTTACACCATAAAATGTAGTAGTAATAATAGTTCAATCAAATTAATGGTTTTTATCAAATAAATATACCTTCATATTTAGCAAATATTATTCAGATAAATGATTTGATAAAATTTAGTACATTTTTCCAGCGTAGTCACGAACACCGAACACCCCCCCCATAAAATGTGATAGTTTAATCAAATTAATGGTTTCTGTCATATAGATATATCTTTACACTTAGTAAATATTCAGTAAATATTATTCAGACAAATGATTTAGTAAAATTCAGTACATTTTTCCATTTCGCAGATTCACAGATATCAAACACCTTTCTCTGCCGGTGTGATCTCCCCAATTTGGGTTTTGGACAGCGCAATTATTATCGGTCTTTGAGTGGGCGGGAGGGAAGGGAAGGGAAGCGCGGATGAGGTCGCGATGAATATACGCGCGGAGTAAAATTGCGTTCGCGGGAGCGTCTCGTTTCTAAGTTTGGCGCGGTGGATGTGGCGTGCGACCCAACCGACGACCTTTCTGCATTCATTCCGGTCCCCGCGAGATCACGGCCACGACTCCTCCGCCTCGTTCTATCTGCTCTTTTCTTCGCATACCTCGTCGCCTCGTTACTTTCCTCTCGCTTTTCAAGACGTCGCGCTCGAGCGCGGCCGGCCCGTCTTATAGGATAATCCGCAATCAGTTGAGACATTCGTTCGTACTTTACATTCTTGAATTTTAATACACGACCGAAATCTGTCGGCGGAGGAAACAGTAAGAGAGGAAAACAAAAGGTAAGCCGTCGCTTAAATTCACCGCGGAAGAATGCATTTGCTAAAACGGTTGCCGAGGAACGCCAGAGATATTTCATATACCTGTCGAGATATATAAAGGAGACAAAAAGTGGGATGAGACGCAGATATAGAGGTTTGGAATTTGAAAAAGAATTTCTGTATTGATATTCGTGTCGTTAAAGAGAGTTTGTGGAAAAGCAGCGTAGTTTCTGAGATTGAAACGAAAATAGGATACGTCCAGGAAAAGAAATAGGGACGGCAGGAAGGCGGAAAAGGGCGGTAGGCAAAAGTGCATCTGAGTTTTCTGACCTGCTGGTCGTGTCCTAGGAGGGACCCATAAAATTCCGGGATTTCTTTGTCCCGGTTAGGATTGCAGGCTACACACGTTCCACCAACGTCGCCCTTTATCCTTCATTTTTAATCCGCAGTACACCATCCACGCGGCATTTTGTTCTCTTTCGCGAGCCTTCTCTCTCTTTCTTTCTTTCTCCTCTCCCTGTTGGTCTCTTCCTCGTTATATAAGTCCAAGGACGAGCCACGCTGCTAACGTGTTCCTCTCCCTCCATCTTATCGCTTCTCTCTCTCTCTCTCTCTCTCTCTCTCTCGTTCTTTTGCTCTTTCATTCTTCTTGTCCTTCGCTCTCCCTTTCCTTCTCTCGCTCGTTCCTACTTCCTCTCGTTCGTAACGCCGTCCTTCTGCACCATGCATCGCATCAGACGACGCCTTATACGCTGCTCCTGTTATTCTTCTAGCTTCCATACTCCTTGCCTCAGCGTTCAGCGTAGTTCAGGGTCTTCCAAAGCGAGCATCGCGATTTCCGAAGAGAGGGATGTTGGTGTGGGAGAGAAAGAGAGAGAGAAAGAGCGCTAACACAGGCGCGACGCGAAATCTCAAAGTGCAACAAGGTTTCTGCCGTTTTACCGCAGGCTATCCTAGACTTGTTAGTTATACAGGGTGTTCCAAGCACGTCTCAGCCATCTTTCACTTTCTCAAAGACACGTATATATAATACTTCAGGTATAGAAGTCAGAACGAAGAAGATTAATCACTTCTCAAGCATTGCGTTTTTCAACGAATCGAT